ACTTGAATGCTGAGATTGAACCATTGTTTCTATACTTATTTTTCCCGGGATTTGCTAGGTGCTGTGATGCTATTCATTATGTACCATTTTCGTTGCAGAGATTTTTAGCAGCATTAGTTCATCTTGACTGATGTCCTTGACTTCGGAGTATAAGTAGAAAAATAGAGATAGGTGACAAGGATTGATTAGCAATCCTCCTAAGTGAAACAGTAAACCTAGCTAGATAAATCACTGGCTGAAAAGCCTACAAAATGCATAGTGAAAGCATTAAAGGGGTGTGTGTGTGTGTGTGTGTGTGTGTGTGCGCACGTGTGCGCTCATGTGTGTTCATGTTCCATAGATTTTCTAGAAGAACCACAAGGACATAAAGGTTCTATCTAGTTTATTTTACTATCCTTCAGTTTTTATAAAAAATGCTGGGAAGCTTTACTGAGCTATGGGATGAATATATCATTGTTTTTCTAAAGGAGTTTTTTTTTTTTTTCTTCTAACTAAAGGCAATAGGCCACTGCTGTCATTAAAATCAGGGTATATATAATAATCATATTCTCATAGTCTTTATCATTAAGCTTCAGCTGTATGGTTGGAAGGATTCATAAGAAAGCACCGCATTTCTTCTCTTATACTTTTAAACCATCAAAGCCAGGTGAGGGGGCTGGTGAGATGGCTCAGTGGTCTAAAGCACCTACTTGGAACAAGCTTGGCAAAGCACAGGGACCGCGATTCGATCCCCCAGCACCACATGCCAGCCAGCCCCGCCCCCTGGTGGGCTGAGCTGGCCACACACACACACACACACACACACACACAAATAAAAAAAAATTAAAAAAAAAAAAGCCAGGTGAGAAGTACTTCAGCGTTTTATAGTGTTCATAGTACACAAAGCAATGATCTCTGCATGTGCTGTGATGCCTGTCCATGTGCAGTGGGCTAGTGCCCTGATAAACCCTGAATGAGTTTAAAATCATGAGTTGAAAATTCATTCAATATACACACACCATATATATTACTGAGGAATGACATGTCATCACCTCCTGAGCATCACAGGGAATGGCTTCCTTAGCCTGTGAGCCCTGGCTGCCTGGGGGCTTCCAGCTCACTGCCATGCGCCGGCATCAGGAGGGAGCTCCATGTCACATAGCAGTAGCCCTCGAAGAAAGTCACCGTGTAAATTGCTCCTTCTACTGATGTACATTCCTTTTGCATCATTGTGAAGTAGAAAATTAGTCGTTGGGAACGGTCTGCATACTTACACATTGAATTCTGACTCAGAGATAGTGTTACCATCTACACACACACACACACACACACACACACACACACACACACACCATATATATTACTGAGGAATGACATGTCATCCCTGAAGAAATGGAACTGGAATTTGTTCCATGTTTAGCTATTCACTTTCCCTTTTTTGTCCCCTCCTTTCTAAAGTCTTCATTGCCTGACTTTGGGCACCACCCCATTCACACCCACTGTCTAATGAGATTCCTCAGCTTTTAGCATAAGGCTCCCCTTCTTGCTCTCTGCTTTCCTTTTTCCTCTTCAGAGCCTGATGGGCAGCGCTTCTCCATAACCGTACCACTCATGGCTGCTTCATTCTTTCACTTCCCTCTGACCTGACGGTGCCCTCCCACCCCAAAGCTGTTTCCCGGTTCTTAAATTATGCTGCTGTATTAATGGCCCATGAGTTCTGAGTAAGATTGTATTAATATAAAGTCTCCTCGTGGCTTCTAAATATAACATTTACTCCTGTCCACCACATCCTTCTTTCTACTGCATTTGCAAAAGTACAGTTGTACGGTCATAGGGCTCACAATGAGTGATTCCTTGCCATGTGTTTACATATATGCCTCAGATTTCCCAAAGTCTCTGAATTTTGACCGTGGTCAACAAAAATATTTGTATTATATGTGTTGTCCATGCGCTTTATTTAAGTTAGCCACAGAGGTTTATTAGGATATATCCTGGCTCTCCGGACACACCTGTGATCCTAGCTTTTAGGAGGCTGTAAACAGGCGGATCACTACAAGTCCGATCTAGTAGTGAGACCCTGAACATCCTGTAGACCCTTCCCTCCTCTCAAGAAAAGAACAATTTACACGCGATTGTAGTTTTTGATTGAGATTGTCCCCCTCTGCTTTACCTTCCATAGGACTGTTCATGTTCAGAACCTGGTGTGGTGAAGGATAGTGGCGAGCATCCTTCTTGCCCTTGCTGCTTCTTCACTGTGCTGTTTCTTAAAAATTACTGTTATTGCCACACAGGGCTTGCTTCTCCCTAGTGGTCCAACCTCCATTCTGGAGCCTTGGAACCCGCTGCAGCCACTCTGGTTCTGTTTCAGCGGGATCTTCACTACTCTTTGCTCCGTCCCCTGCAAGTGCTGCGCATGCTTTCTGAAGTCCAGTCTGTGACGTGCCGAGCGAGTGTGGGCAGTTTGTTTTGCATTGGCAAATCTGTATTCCGGAACACTTCTGTCCAGGACAAACTTCAAGTTCTCCAGCTCTGAACAGAAGCTCCCAAGAGCATTTAAGTGTTTTCTTTCCCACTTAAGACTACTGTTCTTGCCTCTGCTGTAATATGAAAGTGGTCTGATTTGTCTCTTTCTCCTTATATCTCCCCACCTGACTAAAGTACTAAAAGACTGAGTGTACAGTTCAGAGTTCGGCTTAATGAGGTTGTGTAGTGCTAATCTTGCCTCCCTCCAAAAAAATCACTCGAGGTAGAGCTGCTAGTGTCAATCTAAGAAACCTCCTAGCAAGGGCTGGGGACCTAGCTCGGCAGCCTAAGCACAGGGACCATTGTTCAATCTCTGGCACCACAAGCCCACCGACCTCACTCCTGGGCACGCTGACCTGGCCGTGAGTCCAGGTGGGCATGGTGGCACACGCCTGTAATCCCAGCACTGGGGAGGCCGAAAGCGGGAGGATCACTATGAGTCTGAGCTGCATAGTGAGACCCTGTAGCAAATACAAAAAAGAAAGAAAGAGAAAAAGAAAGAGAGAAACCTCTTGGTTTGAATAAGCCATGGACTTAAAACTTAGCTTTTGAAGCACAGCTCTGCTTAGTCCCATTTCACAACTTAGAGCTGTCCAGTTTGGAGCTGTATAAATGTAGAGTTGCATTTAATTCATTTACAAAACAGTACATGGGCAAGGATCATCAGGTGACTAGAAATAAACACCATGGCCAAGGAAGAGAAGGGGTTGGGTTTATTGCATTGAGAAGCTGAGTCCAAGGAGAAAATGAGAATGGGCCAGACATACCATCAGGGGACTATACCATGCCGGTTGGGGTGGTCGCGGACATTCCAAGGGCCCTGAATAGAGACACCAGGGCGAGTGAGGAGGGCTCAGGGTGTGTACACAGCATGTGGAGGCTGGGGATGACTGAATGAGAGATGCACATGTGGAGCAAGGGCAAGGCCCAGAAGGCGATTCTGCAGTGGAAGGAGCCCAACGGTTGCGAGTTAGCTGCCTCTCAGACAGCGGGAAGAGGAGAGGAGGGGAGGCAGCAGGAAGAGGAGAGGAGGGGAGGCAGCCAACTTCCACAGCAGGCCTGGGCAAGGCAAGCCACTGGGACCAAGACAGCTCTGGGCAGCTGGTAGTGGTGGAGTCATTCTTTGTACTGTACGTGGGCAGCTTTGATTGATAAAGGCATTGTACTTGGCCACAGGGATCTTGGGTCTGGTAAAAGACAGGGCAGCAGGTTTGGCTTAGTTTAGATTATACTGGACATAATGCAGAACAAACAGGACTCAAAGGGTAGGTCAGGAATGTACTTTATCGTCTCCATCTCTCCCTTCATTGGCTGTTCAAACCACATTGTATAGCTGAGTTTTCTGTTCTTGGATGACACTTAAAACAGACTTGGGGCTGGTGAGATGGCTCAGTGGTCTAAAGCACCTACTTAGAACAAGCTTAGCAAAGCACAGGGACCACGTTTCAATCCCCCAGCACCACATGCCAGCCAGCCCCGCCCCCTGGTGGGCTGAGCTGGCCACACACACACACACACACACACACACACACACACAAATAAATAAATAAAAATTTACAAAAAAAAAACAAAAAACAAAAAACAGACTTGGTTGCTTCTCTGGCCTCTCTCAGAAACAAAATGCTATCAGTACTTATAAACAGAGTCAGTTTGGCACTTAAGAGGTCTGGTCTACCCAGTGTAATAAATATTTTACTCATTCAAAGGTAAGGCTTCCATCTCATACAGCTTCTGCTTGCAGCAGTCCTGAAGTCTGGGTGGAGAAGAGAGCCTTTACAGGCCTTGTTTCCTGGTTCCCCTCAACATTTCTGCATCTCCCACTCACCAGGATCCCTTGGGTTCTTGCTCCTCAGAAGAGACAGAGGGGCAGGAAGGTCTAGAGAGCTGAGCTTGGTTTGCCATTGGTAAGACCACGGGAGACATGCATCTGACTCATTGTTTTGTGGGCACTTTTCAGGTCCCCAGGGAGCCCCTCCCCCTCACTTCTATACAGCTCTCACCTGGTTGCTCTGACAGGACAGGGAGGGAAGACCCTTGTCTTTCATCCCAGGCAGGCAGCCTTTACTCAGATGTAGATCACTCTGACTCTACAGAATGGGTTAAGTGGGAATACTCTTGTCTAGTTCACAGTAGACCTGAAGCATGCACACAGCAATGGGGGGTCACTGCTGAGCAGATCGTGCTAGAACGAGTAAGATGGAGACAAGGAGCTTCACAGAGAGAGACGCTTGCGTTGAAGAGGCAGAAGGAAAAGTCCCTGACATGGAGGACAGTATATCAAAGTGTTTGATCTAGAAAAGGGGAGACTCTTTGGGAATCAGCCCAGAACTATGCCTATTAATATACTTATGCCTAACTTAGAACATGGCATCTTCAATACATTTACTTCATTGTAGAAGGGCCCTACACTGCTTTCTTCCTGTTTTGAAAATTGATGTTAATTTGAATTTAGAATATCTTAATTCTTTGAAGACAAACTTTAATGCTTCTTTTTACAGTTGTGTATGAACACAGATCAAGGTTAGAGAAATCCTTACAGAAGGAAAGACTTGAACATAAGAAAGCGAAGGAAGGTAAGTAATTAATGGAGTATATGGTCTACGCTTTTACCGCGCTCTTCTTTGAAATAGCATGTACTTGACTTATGTCTTTTGTATTAAGCTATTTTTCTCATGCCAATTTAAAGCCGGTTTTCTAAGTGAACATAAAAAGAGATGTCAAGTAATGTATTAGACATCGTGCAATAATTCCCGCACAAAATTTCATTTAGAACATTTCACTGTTTGTGCCACCTTGAGGCGATCCATATATAGGTCAGACATATGATTTCTTTTTAAAAAATTATTACTATTATTATTATTTATTGATACAGGGTCTCACAACACAGCTTGGAGTTATAGGGATCCTCCTGTCTCAGCCCCCCCAGTGCTGGGCTTATAGGCGTGTTTCACCTCACCTAGTTCGGGGGCCAGCATGGAATGTGGTACCTGGAATCAAACTTGGGTCCTTGCACTTGTCAGTGATGCACGTAGACCACCACCCTATCTCCCCAGCCCCAGACGTATTATTTGAAAAACAACTTTTCATCTGAATCTACATAGGTATAGCACTAACACCTGGAAAAGCAACATCCATTATTGAGAACATGGCCCTTGTGGCACACACACAGACACACGTTTATAATGAATTGATCATACTATCTGGTATGTTTTAAATTAAATATCTGTTTTAATCTCTTAAGAGCTTTTCGTGATATATTCAGTTAGTTCAGTTTGAATTATTAATAGGGATAAGGCAGTGCTATTGAGACATATCAAGACTTTTCTTTAATGTAGAATTTCTCCAACACATGATTTGAAGTCATCCGCATTCTTGCTTCTGTTTATTCATGTTTTGCTATAAATCTTGAAATTTAAGTGAGTTGTTGCGTCCGAATTGCTTGCTTGAGTAGGAGAAGGGCGAGCTGCGAGGTCAGCATTGGTGAGGATGCTTGTGTGTGGCGTAAAAGTTCACAGGATTAAAGTGCTTCGAGAGCACTGGAATTTTCCCCATGTTTGCATGCAGAGTGATTTTACAGAGCCATCTAGTGGATAGTAAAGTTTTCAGAGCATGCAGATGGCTTGGATGGCTGGGTTTCTGTTTTCCGGCCCTGAGATTTGATGTGCCTGCCTATCAAGGAGCCATAAATCACCCTTGTCTTAAGATATGCTCCAGTTTCTCCTCCTCAGCTTCAGGGAATCAATCATAGAAACATTCTGAATGCACTTGTAATCAGTTGATTATGACATGGAGTGTGTTGACGCAGAATTTGCACTTATAAGGGAAGAAGGAGGTTGATATAAGATTTTCTTCAAGTCTTTATAAAGCATTGAGAGGAAAAATAAAGCACACACATAACCAAGTAGATTAATTTAAGCTGAAAGTATGCTTTGCAAGTCTGAGTAAAATAGCTCTTTATTCAGCTAGATGACCTCCACTGTCTCCATTTTGCTTTTTCTAGATTTCCTTGTGTACAAGCTAGAAGCACAAGAAACACTAAATAAAGGAAGGGTAAGATTTTTTCTCTTCTTAGTTTCTTTCTGTTAAACCTGAAGGAGAAGGAAAGTAATTGCAAAATCTTTTACTCTGTTGATCGGTAGGATTCTAGGAATGGCATACATTTTTTTTTCCTACAAGGAAATCTTAAAATTGTTCTAAAACCTACCTTTACTTAGCACATTACTGATGATAATAGTAAATTGGGAATAGTTTAGGGATTAACAGGAAAAAGAAGATTGTTTTGTTCACCCACTGACTCATCTGTGGTCTCTCTTTTCCATGGGGTGCATCATTTTTGTTTGCCTTTACAAGTGTGTCATCGTACCACAGGGTCTGGCTGAGAGTTGGCATTTAAAAGCGTTTGTAGAATGAATAAAAGAATGATAATTGGCATTTGAAAATTTTTTCAAATCCAAATTAACTGGAGGAAAGCTAGTCGTTCTTATAGTCTAAGAAAAATGTGCAGCATTAATTGAATAAAGCATGAGCATTCCAGGGCAGTAAAACTGAGAAATGTCAGTTGTTTGAGTTGCCTGGGAAGCAGTAAACTTGATTTCAAAAGCTCCAACCCAAACTGTTTATCCTGTCATACATTTTATAATGTGATTTCCTTGTAAAGCAGTAAAACACAAAGTATGTAAAATACAAAAAAATAATAAAACAAAAAT